TATTTACACGCAAAGCATTCTGGGTAAATGATGACGTGGATAGGTCCTCGATGCGAGGCTGCTAGCGAGCTATATCCACCCTGAAGGTTAATCTTGAACAATATCTGACGATTGACTCTTTTAAATGAAAACAGAGAGCGTTGACAGAGAGGAGAAGGTAGAAATGATTCAGCCTGTAACTGGGAAAAAAAAAAAGACCTCCACCCAAGCTACTATGATTTTGGATGCACCTAGCAGCATGACATTTATTAGGAATAAAGACTTCTGAGTTCTGGTGCATTTGTGCGTGCGGGGGTCATTATGTTACCGCTATGCGGTGTCTAGTTATTACAGGGGATTTGTGTTCAAGGATGTTGAACAAATATTTGGGCCCTCCATGAATATTTTTCCCTTTGATGGCCCCTTACGCAGAACAATCCTAGATTCGCCACTGCATGTGCAGCAACCCTGGCTGCAGTCAGAGCAGAGAGGAGACCCACTCTGCAAACGAACCACGCATGAACAAAGCTGGACCTGGCTGCATTTGACTCACAGCCTCTTCTTCACCTCGTCCACCCTGTGAGCCTCCGAGACATCTTACATGTTGGTTAAATTTAAAATTCTTACAAAATTAATTCACATGATGTATATTTAAGCACTAAATATGTGAAATTAATTCTAAAAGTTAATTTGCAGTTCTAAACGTATTTAATGTTTTTGCTACTATTTTTATGTCTTTATACGCTTCTCAGCCTTGTGGGATACATCCTTAATAACATGGGTCTCCAACCAGTAGCTCATGAGCTCATTTAAGTAGCTCTTTTGTGCTTCTATAAAATTAGGAGTAGCACATTTTTATTTGTCACTGGCCAAACAAACTTTCATATCCAATCAGTCCATAGATATCCCTCCCCCTTGGTTGCCAATCAAACAATCCAGGGATCAGTATGGTCGAACGGCAGATGACCAGACGATGCACGGTTGTTCGGCATACTTTTTCGCACACACTTTTCACAGCTCCTTGAGACACAATGTGCCGAACTTCTGGGGGAACCCTAATGCTGCAGCATACGTCACTGCATGGGGTTTCTTCCTGCTGGAGTCTATGATGGGGAAAAAAGTCAGAGACCCGTCAGCCGACATTTGTGCACAAATCTAACACAAATCTGTCCCGGTTAAACCCCGAGTTCGTAGTGTGAAATACACCATAATATGAATGGATACACACAAAAAGCCCATTCATGTAAATTCAGTGTTCTTTGTGGTGGTTTCATGTGAGTTGAAGACAATGTTTTTTGTGTATGTTCAAACAAAACAAGCTTATTCCAATGGGTTGAGTTTAAATTTAAGATTAAATGTTGCAAAAAGTAGCTCTTGGACAATTTCATTTCATGAAAGTAGCTCATAAGGAAAAAAAGGTTGGAGAGGCCAACAGGTTTAGACCTTTTTAACAGGTCTTAACTGTCCCGTTTAGTAAAAATGAAGCAGGGAGTTCAGTCTATTGCCTTTGTTTTAGGTTTAATTGTGTTGCCTGCTTTATTCCATTCTCGTGAACGTGTTTGCCACCAAACTCCGGTGGTTTCCTCTTGGCACGGAGCTGTGAGGGAACCTGAGAATGTCAAGTGGACTGGCATTTATCTGCCGCCCCTTTTCTCTCATCTCCGACTGTTTCACATTCAGGTAAACACTGGCTGGGCTCCGAGGATGCACAGCTGCCACGGGAGCTGGTTATTTATAGCCGTGTGTGACGCAGACGCTTCTCGTTTCTACTTGGTGAGAACCTCAGCCCGGAGACGCCGCCGCCTGGCTTTCTGAAAACCGTTGATGCTGTTGCTGTGGGAACGGGGCCGTGTTGACATCACAGGGCTGGAAGCGATCTTCTGCGGAGACCAAATCCACGGCCCGATCGACCCCTCCTGACCCCTCAGGAGGTTTAACTCCCAGCCCTGCCTTCTGTTGGACAACAAGAACACTGAAATGCATTTGTTTTGGAAAAAAACATGAAGTGTCTGGCTGTATGAGCTCGTCTTTCCGTCTGACTTCATTTTACTGCTGCGTAACTAAAAAAACAGGTCAATCATAAAATTAACTTGTGCTCGCTCATAAACGTTTTACAGATGTACACAAGCATGTTGGTTGGACAGTTACGACCGGTGGGGCGTGTCCTAAAAGAGGAAATGGGAAAAGTTTTCACCTGTATTGTTTTGCTGTTTTAAGTATTCAGAGGAAAAAAAAACAATCCAAAAAGCATTTAGTCACTGAGGGAGTAATGTCTGCTGTTGTGAGTAATGTCTCTGATTCACTGAGGTCCATCATTAAGGGACACTTAATGCTTTTATGCACGTAACACGCTGGACAAGACGAGGTGTAAAGACAAAGACAGTCTGACCACAGTCCAGTCAGGATGAAGAAAGAGGAGCTAACAGATTAAAACTTCACCAGATTACATAATCTATACAGTCCTTCTCAGATTGGCAATACTTGGCATTAAAAGCAATTGTGCGTATGTGCCAGAAGCACGTCTCTGTGTGCACCAAAACAAATAAAAAACACTACCCGCTCCACTGATAACGAAGCAGCCTGGAAAAAAACATGACGGCAGTGCAGGATCCGTGAAGGGACGTGGAAACATGAGAGCGAGCTGTCTGAGAGCACACAGTCATACGTAAATGACGTTTGTCATTGTTTGAATGTGTGGGTAGGTTTYCTTTTTTCACTACATCTGAAGAGGTTTCCATTTAAATTATGGATTAGAAACAGCAACATATTAACAACTATAAAAACCTGTTTCATAKAAAACAATCAAAAACCATCTGGTATGATAAAAAATAAGAAGTGTGGCTACAAGAATATAAAATAATGAGACATGTAATGGTGCAAATAGGTCACAAAAAACATGCAAGTCTACTAAAAAGAGACTGAAACTGATTACAATCAATCTTACAGCTCAAGAGACAAGAAAATATTAAGTTAGATCTAATTGAAAGGAAAAATTTGGACAATTTTATTCCAAAAATGGAACAAAGATTGCTGAGGAAAAATACCCACAGACAGTGTAAATAAAATCCACTTTACTGTTTACATTTAACCTCGTAGGACCCCTTGTCCTTCGCTTTGCTTCATACAAGGGTCTGGACTCTCGGTTATAGAGAAGCGATTCTTGCTGGAGGCGTGGCCTCTGTTGAAC